TTCCTGCATTATTGTAACACAGCAGTAGTTTTAAACCAGTACCTGGTGCATGGCAAAACTCCTTCCCTGCGAGACCCTGCCAGTTCCCAAATGATGCTGCCATAGGCTGTGCTGGAATACTGCAGTGGGACTGCAGCCCTGATGGGCCAACAGCCTCCAAGCAGGAATCCACCAAGGTTTCGTCACTCAGGAGGGAGTGTCCCTTTAAGCTGGGTCACCTGGGGCGTGGCTGGGTGTCCCCAGGCCGGCTGGCATGGGTGATCCCTTCACTGTTAACTTTTAATGTTCGTAACAGGTTATGACACCCATGTGACAAGGTACTTTAAAGCCTTACACCTTTGTAAGCCACAGGTCCTCATTTTTAGCTATTTATATATGTTTTTCCAAATTGCAGAGCTTGAGCTAGGCCGTACATTCAGTTTCCTTTACTTTCCAGAGGGTGTGAAAAGGTTAGGCCCAGAGTGTAAAGAAGGTGATGAAACTGATGTAGTGTGGGAAGTACACCATGGATGCTGCATCACACCTGTGTTAGGAACTGTTTCAGTGAGCATCCAACTTCTTCAGGTTGTCTTGGAAATGAGAATTACATTCTCATCTGCTTTATTGTGTTTCTAGAAGCTCCTTAGGTACCAACTTGCACCAAAATACTACATTTTGGTGGATGGATGATGTATAGTTCCTGTTCTGAAATACTCAGGAACCTCATGACAGACAGTGGGTAATTAATAGGTCATCATCTTACCAAAGGCTTGTGGGCTGATCAGGATTTTCAGGAGAAGATTTTTAAAGCTGTACTGGGGAGAAAAGGTCTTCTGTGAACTGTACCTGCATGAGATGTCAGTGCCACCAGCGTGCTGCAGCAGGCTGGGGTGGCTGCTGGCTGCATTAGCAGGGGCTGAGCAGAGCCTGGGGCACCGAGTTTCCTCAGCATGGAGATCACATCAGCCAGATTGACAGTCCTTGGACTCGGGTCTCTCAGTCGCTCAAGTGTTTCTGCTCTGTGTTCACCATCTTCAAAGGATTTGGGGAGATCAATGTGGTAGGAGTGGCATGTTTGTGAGAGGAGGAGGAACCCTGTGGGCAAAGAAATTGTAAGTAGGTCCGCCTGGTACCCCAGCGTGAGGTGGGGTTTCGGCCGTGGTGTTCGGCCCTGAAAAGGCTCTGGGGTGATAGTGGCCATGGTAAGCAGTGGGAGGTGGAAGGGCTTTGGCATTGTCCCTGAGAGTGAAAGGTGCAGACCAGCATCTGTGGGACTGGCCAGGGTGCGTGGGGCTGACCTGCTCCTCCCTGTGCCCTGGCCCCGGGGTTGGGAGGGCTTGAGAGGGCAGCGAGAGGGGCATCCAGGTCTGCACGTGAGATCCTGGTCTCCTGCCCTGAATCGCCTCTGGGAGAAGGGCCCAAATAGCCCATCAGGGTTGACTGGTAGGGCAGGTACCATAGCAGAACTGATGTAGCCTGTAGGGCTTTTGGGTCGTCCGGCCTTTCTCACCCTGGTTTTGTTTTGCATGGGTCACTGTGTGTCAGTCACTGTGGTCATCTTGGTGGCACCACAGGGAACGAAGAGACTCAGCTGGTGCCCACTGATCCCCTATCTGGTGGCACATCTGAGTGCCCAGCAGAATGTGGGTGGGCAGATCTCCCTAGGTCCTCCCAAGGCCTTGTGGGGCTAGCAGGCTGGATAACAGTCATTATTACTTATTACTACCTTCCCCCCCC